ATTGTTTTTTAGACCACAATTAAAGTTGAACAAAAATGCTCATTCTTGTTCTCTGGAGAGGACTTTGAAACTCAAATTACTAGAAAAACGTACCACAGTAAAAGTAGTTCATATTATGTTTGCAACTAGTCTAAGAATTACTAAGTACAAACATGGCAGTTTCATAAACTACTTATGGAAGAAATGTTTTTTAGTACGACCATTAAAGTTGACAAATGTGGTCATTCTTGTTCTCTGGAGGGGACTTTGAAACTCAAATTACTCAAAAAGTACACAGTAAAAGTAGTTCATATTATTTGTGCAAGTAGTCTAAGAAGTACTAAGTACAAACATGGCAGACTCATAAACTACTTATGGAAGAAATGTTTTTTATCCCACACCAAAGTTAGATGAAAATGCTCAATCTTTTTTCTCTGGAGGGGACTTTGAAACTCAAATTACTGAAAAAGTACAAAGTAAAAGTAGTTCTTCGGATTTCTACTACGTAAGCAACCTTCCCACGTCAATCCTACGCACGGCGTTATACATGAGGCCCCTGGTCACATGTAAGATCAGAAATACAGAATCTCTATGAGATAGAGCTTCAGGCAAAGTTAATGATGTGGAACACTGCAAGGGTTCCATCATTTCTCCTCAAATATTCTCCCTAATGGTGCATTCCATCTTTCTGAAAGCGAACATGATGAAGGCCACAATATCACAAACGAATGGACTGTGCGATATGATGCTCCCCATTATAACAGCTATAAAAAATGTTGCTTTTACGAAGATAGTAGTACTTCACCCACTGTTAATGTATGAGATCAATGTTTATGGTGTTTTTAGAATGACAATCTCTTAATGTAAAAGGTGTTCTGAAAGTAAGGCCATGCAAAAAGTCAGATCAAATAAACTTGAATAAACCAATAGGCGACAAATTGTTATGTAACTGTTTCTTTTTAATTTTACAGCGTTTCATATAGTCACCTGATTCACAGCAAAGAAATTAGAGCTTTACTTGATGTTACAGGTAGCTGAAGAAACAGGGAGTTCTGTTCAGAAAAGCTTTGTCTCTTATTTTTGAATGGCATCGATTAAACCGTTATAGCAGTTGATTCATTATTTTGGGAAAGAGAAAATAGTGGGCTTTACCAGAATATTAGGCTGGGATTTTTTTGATTTCCTCGTTTATTTGAATTTGGTCAGTGATATTATCAATATGTAACTTATCTCTCTTCTTCGTCATTACACATTTCCAGACAGCAACTAAAGGCACAGCAAGAGCTGGTATCCCTGCCAATATAAAGATGATCACGTAGATCCAGGATGGATAGAGCTTTTCCTCCTGTGTAGGGAAATTATCCTGCAGAGAAAGCGTTATATTTTGAGTTTTCAATGACAAATGAATAAAAGATCAATATAAATAATTCTTACAAGATCATCCCAAAATAAATTCATATTTACCGATTCTGGATCCCAAGCCTTGTAAAGGATCTTTTCAGAAACTTTAGTGATGAAGTAGAAGACCAAGATGACAAGCATAATTAGCGGGCTGATGACTCTCCATGATGCCTGCCAGAAGAAGTTGGGTTTGTGACCAATCATGAACTCAATATCATCATTGAACCTAGGAGGAAAGTGACACACATACTGCATCGTTAATAGTATGTTAACAAAATAACAGCAGTAATAATAAGGGATGCTTGTGATACTATGATATCATGTTCTTCATATCTGAATCAGCAAAATCAATGTTTATTATTAAAGCCTACAGTGTAGTGTGTATTGTGTGCTAGGTCACAACTTTGTTGTCCACAATCAAGCCCTCCACAAACTAAGTCTATTAACCACACCACGTTAAATCCAACACCAGAAATGAAGAATAGCATCATCAGACAAATAATTTTCAAAGATATAAACAAAAAAAATGTACAATATTACTATTTTAATATCACCTGTCTATTCCATATATGTACACGACTGAGAACATCTCGCAGAATGCAACCACCAGCAGAGGGATGGATCCTCCATAGGTGTCAAAAAGTGAAAGCCAATAATTCCCTGAGCCTTGGAGAAATATCAGACCCACCAGACAACAGAACATGCAGGTGACACCTAAAGGAGAGCAAACAGTTGATTAAATACATACTAGAAATTCGTATTAGTATAAAATGAGAGAATAGATGTGAGAGTTACCAGTGATAGCCTCTTTTGGCCATGACTTAGGGAAAACCTTGAGGTCTTGCAGTGGCACCAAAACTCCCTCAATGTTACCAAACATAGAAGACAGGCCGAGACAAAAGAGCATGATGAAGAAAAGGACGGACCACAGCGGGGAAAGGGGCATCTTGGTGATAGCCTCAGTGAACACAATGAAGGCTAAACCGGTTCCTTCAACTCCCTAGGTCCAAACACAGCACAGTGTTAAAGCAAAGCATGGCAGGAATCATTCAAATGAACAGCAGTTTACTTTCCCCTAATAAGAAAGGAGCTGTGCAAAAATAGACTTACCTCACTGAGAAACGTTCTCAAGTTGCAGGTTGGAAGATCAAGCTGTTGAATAATCTCGGGGCTTGTTTCATTTAGGCGTTGAACAACCTGATCGTAGTTGCTGTCAGTGATGTAGCCCTCGGGAAGCTCAAACATATTCAGTAATGCTAGGATGTTTCTGAAACACAAAAATGTTTTCAAAGTCAATGTATTGCTGAATAACAGCCAATATGACATGCTTAAATGTATCATTTGATAAAAGGATGAGTAATGTACCCTGAAAGACAATTGTCAAATCTTTCTGTTGCTCTGAAGCCGATAATGGTGTAGATGACAGTTGCAGCATAGACGGAGGTGAAACCATTGATTATAGAGATGATCACCGCATCCTGTTCACAGTTGTTACTAGAGGAAACATACTATTTTATTTACTTTAAATGAGGTGAGTGAAAACAGTTGGGAGTAAAATAACTTACTGCACTGAATTGTAGCTTGAGAAGGAAATAAGACCACCAAAAGCCAGAGAGAAGGAATAGAAAACTTGAGCCCCCGCATCGAGCCATGTTGATGGCTTTGCCAGCTCTGCTAACTGGAAGAATATGTAAAGTACACAATTATGAATCAACTGGTTATTGCTGTGCATCGGCTATTAGATGCCTTTAATGAGGCTGAAATGACGGAAGTCTGTTCAGTGGACTAAAATAGCAGGTCACTATATACTGTAGAATATCCAATTAAAGGTAAATATCCAAACAGATCTTTAATTTTACATAACATAATATAATTAGACCTAGCTTAACATATCTCGGAATTAATTGTTGTCCCTGTTTCCAAATAGTGTTCAAACATATTTTAATAGTTAGGCATTCAGTGTATTTGTCGTCTGCAGTAAAGCCAGTGTTATAGCTCAAATGAACTTGGTAACTTACATCTGGTGTGAAGAGAAACTTAACTCCATTCAAAGAGCCCTTCAGGGTCAACCCTCTGATCAGGAATATTGTCAGCACCACATAGGGAAGGGTGGAAGTCACATACACAGCCTGGGGAAAATAAAGTATTCACTACATAACTTTTTAGCTGGGATAAAATATTTTCTCTAATTGTAGTAAGCATTGTGCGGTACCTTCCCAGTGGTCTCAATACCACGAATAATGCAGATATAGAGCACAGACCATGCACAAATGTGACATAGCAGTATCCACCACTGCAGACCGCCATCGTCTTCAATATTTGGGGTTGTGTTCAGGGTCTCCCTGTACCAGAAATAATCCACAGGGGAGCTCCTCTCACACTCTGAGACAATGCCTGAAGGAATTCAACACAGTCAGTCAGTGAAAGAGTTTTTAATTACAGTTCTAGTTGTAGCCTTACCTGTTGAATTGGCATTCATGGGACATTGACTCCAAGGCAAAGGGTCTTGAAATGAGTTAAAGAAGTACCACAAGATCCAGGCAATGATGGTGTTGTAGTAGAGACTGATCGTCAGGGATACACACATGGATGCAATACCTGCCAATGAAAGTTTTAAAAGGGTTTCTTTAAAGGCACTTTTCCACTAGTTGTAGAAATCATTATGCAAAACGTTTCTTACCAATGCCAGTCAAATAGGGATGAATTGCACTCCACACTCCTAAACCGCCTCTTCTTATACGTTGTCCTATGGCAAACTCGAGATGCAGGAGAGGTATTCCTTCAAGGACCAGCAGGATCAGAAATGGTATCATAAATGCACCTGGAAGAAAAACAATGGAAGTGTTGATTGTGTCATGGTGACAATATTTTGGTTTTACAAATAATTTCAACACCTCTATGTTAATCATTCAAGATGCACGTGAACATGTGCAGTGATAAAGTCCAACAGTAAATGCAGTTAAGTTAATAATGCAATGTTCAGTCCATCCAAGGGAATGCAGTAAGATCTTTACAAGGATTTCCTGAGTTGGTATAACAAGTCTTATCTGAACAGATAAAACAGTTAAAAGCCGTCTTCTGCTCTCCGGTGAAGCTCCTTCTAATCCTCTTTTATATTTATATATTATAATGATACAGTTAGATCAGTGGCCTTGTTATAATGCTCATTAAATGTATGACTTTGAGAAGGGTGTTGTCCTTTATTACCCAGTAATTCAGAACTGTAAGATATGTACTGTGGAAATGGACAGAGTCCAGAAGATGTTCTTCTTCAGGGCGTAACAAGTGGATATCATTTTAAATGTAACTGCACTGCATTTCAATTGAGCTCAATCAAACATGCATCATTGCAATAAAACTAATTTCCAAAAATGATATCAAAACAAATAAATACAAATATAAATACAAATGATGATCACAAAAATATATTGGAAGCAAAATGAACAGTGATCAACTGCCAAATATTACAAAAAGCTGCATTTATCCTGCATGTCCAAGCACAAAAGAAAGTACTTTAACATTATTGTTGGCTGTAGCATGTCTTTTGGGCATTTAGTAATAACTTCAACCTTTATTCTATCTGATTAAGAAACAGGTCATCTACAATGTAATGTTGATGGCAGGCATACACATACTTTGGAGTGCTTCTAATGTTAAACCAAAAATGCAACAATTTCTCTATACAATTTGTCAATGTAGATCAATGGAAGTATGCATAACAATACTCTACTGTACCAGTAGATCTGGATTGCACATATTGAGGTTAATTATTGTTGTTCTATTCAAACAGTGTTTTCAAAAGTAATCAAATATCTAATAGGTGAACCATAAATGCATCACTTGCCTCCTCCGTGACTCTGACACAGGTAGGGGAAGCGCCAGACATTTCCGAGTCCCACACAGAACCCAACACAGGTCAGCATGTACTGAGTCTTGTTGTCCCATTTGGGTCTGTCCCCAGCCTCTTTCTCCTCCAGTGAGTCCAGCTGCTCATAGGACAATATCCTGTCCTCCAGGCCAGGATTGGGAAGTTTGAACTTCATGATCTGTCAAACACTGCAGTGGTGATACAATAGTGCACTGTGCAATGTTGGAATTTAAATTGTAGCTGACACGGTGAGATCCTACTATTTATGCTGGACCTCTGTAATAGATTGACTAGGCTGTGGTGTCATAGAGCATCAGCTAAAGGTGTACAGCCTTTGAGGCGTAAGATGAGTAGAACACACCTGACAGTTAACTAGTGTCTTATCTAGTGAGGAAGGGCCAATGCACAGACATTTTATAGGATGTATTGTATAGTGTAAAGTTGAAGAATGATTGAACACATTACAGTAACATAGCTGTAGTGATATATTTATAAGCACACATAAAGAAATCCTATGCCTTCCCTAAATCATGTATCAACATATTCATAAATCGTAAACAATTGTACTTTCCATTGTTTATAAAAAAAACTACAAGTTGTTTAAATAGCTTCTTACAGTTGTGGAATAATTATTCCTATATATTGTACTTGCTCCAAAAAAGAAATACAACACTGTAGAATTGTGTTGTTGTTGTTGTTGTTGTTGTTGTTGTTGTAATGGTTAAATAACAAAAAATAAAAGCCACTCATTGTGCAACATGGCTAATTTAGGACAACTATTATATAGAGTATATTGTTGGAATTATAATTTTTCATGCATTCATATTTTCAGTGCTTTATTGTTTCAGCTGCTTACGTTGAGACCATTGCTATTCTTTTTTAACTGGACGCTACATGGATAATAATGCATAATAATCCATTAGTTGGTTATAGTATTTTGAGTATTTGAAGTTTAGCAATCAAACACAAGTTTTGAAAGTACAATACCTACCCTCTGTAGTAGAGAATAATTACAAAGTAACTAACATATTCAATACCCAATAAGGCCTACAGTGACCTCATCACTGTAGCTTGTTTAGTTCAGTAGGCCGACTTGGGACATTTCTTCCGCGACTGCCTTTTATTTATGTCAAATTATGGAGGGAGTCTGTCTGCCTGTCATGTTGTTTTGTCATGTTTCCTTTATTTGCAATAATTCTGTACAATTGCTATAGACCGTAGCATTTATCTAGCTAGGCTACAAGACGTTTGTCAATACGGTCTATGGCTTTAAATAATTGCACTGCTAGGCCCTGCATGGTTGAGTCGCTGCCAGTTTCGGTGCTGCGTTTGTTTTTGTGTGCTTCTCATGTTCGCCACTAGAGGCCGCCATTGCGCCTGTAATATGAGCTGAGTCTGACGGCTGAGGTCTGGCTGCTGTGTCCCCTGGCAGCAGAGTTTATGCTTGAGGAGGGAGCCGCTTCCCATCGCTCTCACAGTCCAAGAGTGGCAGTCCGTCCGCAGTCTGCCTCAGCACCTCTAACGCCCGCTATGCCCTTGGATACTGCAACCCTGCTCACTTCCACACCGATTATCCGTGAATCTTAACGGGGTACCCTGGATCTTTACTACTGGAGTGTTGCGTTCACTGTCCTGAGTCCTCTGCGCTGCGAATGGAGAAGGTCCAAGGATAACAGAGGGGTGCAGGACTGTGCTACTGCAGAAGACCTGCCGGTAGTTCGCTGCCCGGGGGGCTGCCATTTCTGTCAGGGGCTGTGGTGTCGCATCCACCGTTTTAATTATCTAAAATCGCCTTGCATGGATGCAGCATGGCTACGTTTATATGCAGGGTGCAGTTCTTAGATGATACTGATCCATTTAACAGCACCAATTTCCCCGAGCCCACCAGGCCACCACTTTTCACTTTCAGGGAAGATATTCCTCTGATAAATCAGATTGCTGGAATCCACAGACTGCTAAAAGCCCCACACAAGGTATGCACTACTTATTTATTTCTGGGTGATGTTTTTGTTCATGTCTCTTTAAACGAGCTTAGTGATCAGTGTTCACCTGCAAAATGCTAAATTAATAATTAGCTTGAACATGGTTGATGGGGTTACCAAACAAACATAATAAACCATCGTAGAGCCTGCGACTTTAAGCAGCTTGCTGTTATGGGATGCTGATTAAGCATCAACATGCATTCAGTTACTGCATGCACAGTGTCAGTAAGATTCACCTATAGTTTGACATTATGGTGTATTTGGTGACTTTAGATGATGATGAAACTATGTATACACCCACTGTTTGGCTGAAGAGCAGTAATCTGTTAATGTTTACCTCAACCACAACACTAATCCCCTCAGTTTGACCTGTTTCTCTGACTACCCATTAGTTAGAGGAGCAGATCTATTTTAAAGTGTTGTTCCAGTTAATGTGTGAAAGTAAAAATAAACAAACAAAGGAGGAAATTGATAATGCAAATGTTTGTTTTTACTCAATCTAAAATCGATGATTGTTTGTTTACTTTGATTTTCAATCAACTCGGCATAGTGTTCTTCTTGGCTAACTAGGATCTGCAATTTCTTTCTGAAAGTATTTAATGGAAAAGAAGCCAACTTTGCATTTGTGTAACCATTAATGGATAGGCTTGATGTAGGAAACCACTTCTGCTATTGTCACTACACCGTGTAAATTAGAGTGAGGGGGTTCAAATACCCAGTTGGTCTGTTGTTGAGGGATGGAAGAGGGTAATTCCCTAACCAAATTGTCATAGATCTGGGGATTCATGTTTGCAATCACTTGATCCAACGCAACTTTGAAACCATGTGCAGTGAAAGACAATAGTTCTGATGGTTAACATCTTACCATGAGCATATTCTGTTATTTCCTTAGTAAAAAGCCAAATTCCTTTTGTAGTACCTCTACATTGTTGTGGTTGGTCAGCAACATAACGTCTGTCTGAATTTAGTCCTAACAGTTTAGAGGTGAAACCGTACACATTGTTTTGGTTGCAAAAGTTGGCCTTCCTAAAATCCACAACTGCACAGCCAGTTTTAAGCAGCCCAAAATAACTGGCCATTTCGCTTTGGTATAGTGTAAATTGCCTTGTTTGCATTTCCTAAAGACAGCCAGTGACAAATAATGTTAACCTGAAGCCTAGATTATTTTTATTTTCTCTTGAGAAATGCCTGATTCTTGCCTTCTGATCAGACTGCATCCAAACATATTTTCTTAAGGTCTCATCTTCTGACCTTCATATTTAAACAAAGCAAAGTTCCAGCATCAAAGGTTGAATCTTTCAATGGGTATTTATCTTAGTCTTGCCGGGAAGTCACATGAATAGAAATGAAATTAGAGTTTTTCCTTATTCTGTCAGATCAATGGTTCTCCATGTTGTTTGAGAAAAGCTGGTAAGATAAGTAAGGGGAGCCTCAGGATGCTGTGGATCACCACAAGCCTGGCTCTCATTCTGCAGCCCACTCAGTCTGACCAGCTGGATGGGACGGGAACGCTTTCCACTGCTTGAGAGAGCGGGAAGCAGGCAGAATTAAAAACACAAACAAAGAGCTGATGTACTTTGCACAGTCGACTGGTCTCATTTTAGCACTAGGCCAGCTGGACCGCAAACTAGACCGATAGGGAGTACCAGTGGTAGGCCCAGCAGCGCCTGGTTAGTAACATTTGGTCACACGGGCATTTGTGGTAAGCAGTAACTCGAAAGAGCAGCCCCGCAGCCCCTTGAGGTTTTTCATAAAACAATAACACTCAGGTGGAGGACACTGTGTTTCTACATTGAGCATTGAGGTCTGATTAAAACCCTCAAAAAATTGACAAAACTACTTTGCCGTGACCCTTTAAAGACTTCAACAGCAAGTCTGTTGTCTTTGAGCGCCGTCTCTATGGTGCAGGTCAGTCTGGTATAAATAGCACGCTGCAAACACATGGTGCAGAGGGAGTCAAAACAGCTCACATATGCTGTCTCTGGGCTGTTCCTGTCAGTTTAATTCTGCAGTCTCAAGAGTGGTGATCTGTTCATGTGTGTGTGGTTGTTGTTTATATTGTGTGTGTACGTGTGTTGGATTGGTTTGTGGCTTGTACATGGGACGGCACCGTGGCCATGCAGCTGTTCGAGTTACTGTTTGTGGAGTTATAACATCAAAAGCCATCATGAGCAAGGATTATATTTTATAGCAAGGGTTCAAACCTTAAATACTTGTTGTTTAGCAGCAAGAGTTTGTCAGGACAGTAGACACTTTTAAGTCAGTTTTCAGTCTGTTGTCTTTTGGAAAATGCCATATCATCATATTTGAATGCAGTATTAATGTGTTAAAGCAGTTCCACCGCTGAGTAATCTGAGGGTTTTAATGAAAAATCAAACTCTCAAAGACACCAACATTATGTTGTTGCTTTAGCATATCACCTATAAACAAGTTTTACATAGCTACTGTGGATGGAAAACATGACGAGTCATCTCCTGACTCGGCCTGTTTTTTCTGTGATGAATAATGCAATGTCCTTGTAAAATGACATTTGAGCATACTATTCAGAATTGGTGGGAGCTATTCCAAATTTCCTGGTTATGTCCTCATAGATCAATAGATCCATAGTCCTTCAAATGCTTGTTTTTGTCAATGTTTTGTAGTTTGTGGCTTGGTGGCCTTGAGGCCTGGCATCCGATTGCAGAGCAATATTCAAGGCAGGGAAAATGTGGCTAAGTCTTGGAGAATGGACTCTCACTTTACCAATTTCGATTTTTGGGTCACATTTTTTTCCTTAAGAAATTACAGACTCCCATAATGAGAAGTTATGTTAAATGCTGTAAAATACAGGTTCCTCCTCCATGCCTGTCAGAGCTCCTATGAATTATTTTACACATTGTTATGCAGAGTTGAGGTTTCGATGGTCACTGCAGTTTGGAGGGTTGTCTCAGCAAAAGGGCTCCTTTCAGAAGAATGCAACATCCGTGGAAAGTCTCATCCTCTGCATGCTTGACAGAAATGTAAGATTTCTGTTGTGGTTTCTCTTTCATGTATCAAATGGGTTTTAATGTGTTTTAAATCATGTGTTTTACAAATACACAAATACCAATCCTCACCTTTATTAAACAAATGTTTTGCTTTTGAAGTAGCTTACTCTAATTCCTCTTGTTTGATTTAGAGCACAGTGGAGTCTACAGACAAAATGTCTAAGTCTAACACAGGGTTTGCATTTGTTAAACTATGCAAAAGAATTGAATAGTGTATGCTATCTCATTCCAAGGAAGTTTGGAATGAGATAGCATTTTTGAATTGGAAATTGCATGGTGTTTATTTTTAGCCCTTTCTGCTTTAACTGCCTCCCTGGTCAGTGGACCACGGTATGGTGGTTGAAGGGAGAGGCCAGACCTCAGTGTGTGAGCACTGGTGGTTACTTCTCTGGACTTGGCCATCACAGGCCACTGTGGGTTCAAGTCCTGGGCGGAGGACAGCTAAGAAAGCGTCTGCTACTGATAATCTGTTAGCCCTGTTCCTGGATTAAGGGTCATGTATGTGCATCAACCTGGCGTGGTTAAACATGGCAAGATTTAGTAATCCAGGTTGATTATATAATGAAAACGTCACACATGCCAGCATGGATATGTGAAACATGGATGAGTTTGATATACTGAAAGAGTATGGATTAATGACCGACTCACATAGTTCACTTTTACTTTCCCCATTTGGTTTGTGAGTCTAAACCTCGTGTGGGGAAAAGCATTTTTCAGTTCCACAGCTAATTACTGGTTACGGCTGCGAATTCAGCCCAATGTTTTGTCTATTTCAAGTTTTGATACAGAGCGTGAAGCTGAAAGAGAACAAACATTTCTTTGCTCTTGTCTCCTATCCACAAACTTCAACATCACTTAAAGTACCAGTAAATGTAAATAGAGAATAGCATACGACTGTAACAATAGATGTTGATAATTAATTATACATTTTGGTTCGTAAACTGACAGCATTTGGGCCCATTGTATTTTTTTCTCTGTATTTTGTGTGGATAGTTAGAATAAGCAGTGATGGATAAACCCTTGTAGATGAACAAAATCTCAAAACTCTTCAAATGAAAATGGTTTTAGATGATTCAATCACTGGTCTAACACATCCCTGGTAATACTGATTTGGGAACAGTTTATGGATTTAGGACATAGATAGAGGCTAACCAGTGTGGTGATTCAGAAATTAGGGGCAACATTCCCATTTTCCTTGGTTTGTTTTAGAGTCTTACCCATAATGTTAGGCCCAGCCACTCAGCGTAAATGATTTAGTGTGTCTTCTCCTTCATGCTACATTTCATATTACTGTCACAGCCGTTATTATGAAAGGCATATCAGTTCATAGGCATACAAATCTTGGGCCCAACTTTGGCCCTTGTGCCTGGATTTCCTGTCTGTCCAGAATCTGTCCTGCAATCTGGAGAAGCACTTTCCTCCCTCCTCTTCATATGTACAGTACATCTTTGTTTGTTTGTCTACCTGTCTACCTGTCTCCCTTTCTCTCGATCTAACGACCTAACTGTCTCACACATGATTGGATTCACTGAGGGCTGAAGATATTGTTGCATGTTTACTGCATCAGCCTTGTGCTTCGCCTCATCTCTGGTCCCTCAATATAAAGTTGCTCTGCACTATGATACCTCCAACCCTTATATTACCAATAATCTTTTGCTTTACCATTCATGGAAGGCAAACATGACAGCTCATAGTCACCGATTTGGAGAAAGAGTGAGAGTTATCCTTACCAACCACATGTTTTGTTTCACTTCTCAAATATGACACAGTCCTTGAGTACTGTAGTGCAGTAATACAAACAGAGTGGCTTAACAGATCAAAGCCATCCGACCCATAATGTCTTTTCCAGCCTTTTTCCTTCACGTTCAATTAAGTTACTGTCATATGTGGGAGGAAATTGAACTGCATCAGACCTGGCAATAACCAGTCTAACTTGAAAAACACATGGTTTCACATGTTGCATAATATTTACATGTGGTGCTCTTCTTTTAGGAGAAAATACTCTAGCAGACTGCCTATTTGGAAGGGTAAATAAATAGTCATTTGTATCATAGCCTTTGCAAGGTTACAAATCCTTAAATGTGGGCTGACAAAAGACAAATGTACTGACTTGAGTATATTAGTGGACTGTACAGTATGAGGTTGTTTTAGAGACCCTGGCTGTTGATGAAACAGAACATTTCCCTTTTCTTCTCTTAAGTCCAAGTCCGTAAAAATGTTTGTTTTCACATCCTCTGCTTCACCGTTGGAGCCGCGGTCCTGTGGGGCTGACAGACTCAGAATATAAATAGGTTAATATCTCCAATTTGGAGGTCATCCAGACAAGTGAACAGACTCAGACTCATTCCTCATCTCCTTGACCACAGTCAGCTGTTGACAACCCTTCAGGACCAGACAAATCATACCTCCTCAGCAAAATCATCCTGTATGATGATAGTTTATCAGACAGGGACAGCAGACAGATAACAGTCTGCCAAACTGCTCCAAATCCACATGACTTCTCTCCACCCTTGCCCTGCTTGTCATTGTAGAGCGCTGACAGGAGCTGATAAAATAGCTTTCTATGGTCCACCGCCGACTAGACATAAACCTCAAATATGCTGTGCATTTGTCCATTGATACATACAAAAGTCATGTTTTTCATACGTACGCAATAAAAAATGTATTTCTTGATGTAAGCAGTATCATTGCAACTGAAGTTGTGAATTCAAGACTAAAGGTATTAACACATCACAATAGACATGCATATAATTATGAAATATTTCCAACATTTTACACCAATCTTCTGTATCACACATCAGCAAAGCAAACCAAACCTCTTCAGGGCTTTATGCCATTCACATTCTTTACAGCTTTGGAAAGGTTGACTGTGCATAATTTTGATATCATACATGGTCATGGTTCATGAGTCTACAAGTCAATCGGTTTTACCCTACTTCGTTGTAATCTGATCAGAGTGAAGCAGTATTTTGTACAGCAGGACATTGGCTCTTAGCCTCAATTGTCTATAAACTAAACTTAATCTCTTCCTTTCTTAATGTTTAGCATACCTTTCATGTCTAAAGTGTAAATGACATAACCCTTTGAGATTGAAGACATATCAATGTTTAACTTTGTCTCCTTCCCGTCTAGCCTGACGACTGTGCCCTTCAGCTGTCCCATAATGGAAGCTACCTGGACTTGGAGTCTACGCTGGCAGAGCAGAAAGATGAACTGGAGGGATTTCAGGAGGAAGGAGGGTAAGATAATAATCACTGCTGTCTCTGTCTCTCTCTTTGCTTTCCCTTCACTATCACCAAACTTCAAAAGCAAAAGATTGCATGTACACAATGTGCTGAAATGAAAAACATTCTCCAATACTTCCCTAAAGTCGGTCATATATTGTTTGCACTTCAAAAGGTGCATTTGGGATCTGTGCCCGAACGGCTCACAAGAGAGACTGGCAGGTTGATAATGTGATTTACTTGCCAAACTCTGATTGTCTGGATATAAAATATTCAGGTTGTGGTGGTCCAATTAGCTGTTATGAAAAAAAAGCATTATTCAAGGGTAACTGATGTTTTTGATTAAAACAATATGTATTTTTGAAACAGCCAAAATAAGTCTCTGCCTGAGCAGTCAGACATAATCAGTACAATGTGATTACGGTACTGTTTTTCGAGAGGGAGACACATAAAATATGTAGAGAGATTAGAGGGAACAGATAAAGGGGGGCTATGGGGATATATATTAGGCTGTATTCCTTTGCCTAATTTTATTCTATTACAGTGATTTGAATCATAATGATACCCATTTCGTTCCAGTATGAATTAGTGAAATAATCCCTTTTTTCCGGGCCTCAGCTGATTGAGCTCTGCTGCTCAGAGGCTGCTCTCATGAGATGTTGGGGTCTGTTGGGGAGCAGAGGGAACACCCTTCACGTACCTGAGGGTCTCTTAGTTTCAAAAAGCTTTCAACACTACAGTATGAGATTCTCAAGGAAAATAAGTTCAAATTAAATATCAGTGTTATTAGCTTCACTCATTCCTTTTTAAATCAGTCACCTAATATCTCAACCACCTCATTGGCTCAGAATATGTCAAATATAATTAAGCAATAGCTCACGACAGGCCCTGGTATATGGTCATTATATCACAGCTAAGGGGCGTGGTTCGGCCCGACATGAAGCTATTTGTGGTACTTTTCCAGTTGGTCTACCTGCTCTTCACGTAGCTCTGCATGTCATCGTTTAGGTGTTTCTTTTTCTGGAGATAGTTCAATTTACTGCTCAATCCACTCCTCCATAGTAAGGCCACCCCGGGGGTCGAAGTTAACCTTAAATCTTTCCATCTTAAGCTTTGTTAGTTAGTTAGCTTCATAATGGACGTAATGTAACAGTTGTAACGGTTGTAGCTTTTTCTCAGACGCGGAGGGATACATGACTTGTGAAAAGTAACTACAATTCTACCCGTGATATACGCTCATTATATCACGGCTAAGAACCAATCAGATTGCTTGATTTGACTTGTCCGTTTTATAAATTACAATATTTGCTCTTTTGAAGACATCCGTGTCATATAAAAGTGTAATCCTGATCTTAGTTGTATGTATGAAAGTTAGCCCTATATATTTTTTATCAGTTCACTGGGGGTATTAGCACCCTTTTTAGTTGCAGACTAAATGTCTCAGAGTTTCCATGGCATTCATCCATTCATATTGAAATACCTGGCCTCCCTGGCCCAGTGGCAGCAGTGATGTCATCTAAACCACTTATGAGGTGTAGACACATCCATGAGTAATTGCCCTCATCTCTATTGAAAGTTACCTCAGAGCTCTCATTGTGAACCCACCACCAAATAACTCTCAGCTTCTAATTTAGCTGCATTGTTTTACTGTTTTATGGAGTTAAATGAGGCTTAATTTTGACATTACTCATAGACCTGGATAAAAAAGAGAGACTTAAAATTGTGTGAGTTTCATTTCTGTTTCATACAAGTTCTTTGGTCAGTTACTTTATTGACTCCATATGTTTTTATATGTACTGTGGAGTATGTTGATATATCATTTAAGTGCCTCCCACTTTAGATGATCACAAACCAAGGGTTGGCATCGGAGTTCCTGGTCGGTGGGACCACAATCATGTATGGATTTATTTGTTTAACTTGGAATTTATAAGCTGCTCTGTAGCTTGGTGTTTCTATTGGACGTTGAAAATGCCGTCCTTTCCCAGTTCCATCTGAAATTGTTCGGAGCTTATGGAAGGCTATAGAGAGCTGTGAGGTTAAAGTGGTCCACTTCTTCTCTCGTCGAGGAGCGAGCCTGCCAGGGCTTGTGTCCTGCCAGCTGGCACTGACTGGTATGGATGTGTGTCATTAAACCCACACAGTGTTGTCTGAGGAGGCTGGGGGTGAAGGTGGTTAGCCAATTATTTTGTATAAATAGGGCAGTTTTGCTCTCTGGCTTTTTATGGTGGTGATATGCCCAGGATTACATCCCCTGTGGCTCGCTGTTGTTGATTTGATGATTATTGAGCTAATAAAAAGGTCTGATGAGCCAGTTCACCTTTTCTTGTTCCATTGTATATTTGACGTTATGCTGCTTTTACTGCAGATCTGTCAACAGCAGTCTCCATTTCCAAAACATCTAACCTACTTTAAAAAGAGTTTAATTTTCCCTGAATTTGTTTCTGAGTTTTACAACGTGATGTCAGAATAACACTCCAGTTAACAAGCAAAATGATGCTTTAATTATAATTGCTTCAAGCCCAGCCGCCTACCTTTGCAAAGAAAATAGTACTTTATAGCGCTTGAGTTCCTGAACCTCCCTGATCAGTGGACATTGGATCCATCTGTACTGTAATTGATATTAATGGCAGGTTACATTCCTGAGGCGCCTGTGTCATGCCTAGTGTCTTTACAAACAGATTCAAGTATGATCCTCTGACAGAGCGCTGCAGAGCCAGGAGATATCCATGTCACAGGAGCTTAAGGGCCATAATCACTTCCACACCATGTTTGAAGCTCAGCTATAGGCGCTTGTGACTCATAAATCCCCTGTCGCATCTCTGGTACAGTCTCACTTAGCTATATCTGACCATATAGCACAGACATGCGCTCAGGCATATCTGCACAGTTTAAGGTATTCAGTGTATCATTTAGTTTCCTAGCTGTGATAGATTGATTGACCCTGTACACACACAATTTCCTGCATCTGTAACCCTGAGCCCAGATGGAGTATGGGGGACGTAGTTAGGATCAGATGGCCTGACATGTGCTTAAAGACGTTTACAATCCTTGAATGTTTTTCTGGATTACATGGATTGAAGAGCGAGATCCTGTTTTAGCATTTCAGGGGCACTTACTCAGGGCCTGATGTTTGAAAACGGAAAATTGAACTGTATTTGGAGAGTTTTGAGTTCGGCTTATGACTTTTTGTTCAAATATGTGTCATTGATTGGCAGCTGATTTGTAAAGTTGTAAGTCCTCAAGGCCATATCCTGGCGTGTCTAAAGAAGATAACATAAAGTGCTGTTATTGACTCCATAATTGATTCAGCATGTGAAGTGTGTAGCTGACACTTTTTTTTAGCATTTCACTGTCCTAGTACACACAAAGAACAGCTGAAAGCCAGCAGTTTTCTGCTGAATATGCCTTTCTTTTTTATTGAGTGTTCTTGATGTGTTCGACAACCAGTTAGAAGTCAAGCATATTAAAACTCAACTGTTCTTGCTTCAACCATCCAATCCTCTCCTTTCATCTCTCTTAGGACAGCTCCACTTTCCTTATTCTCATTTAGTTCTGCCCCGCTTGGACATTGTTTGGTAGACGCTAACAGCACACAAGATTTTCATTTTGGTGAGGAAAAAAAAATCACATTTGAAAAGAACCAGAGCAATTGTCAATCGCAGTACAGCTTAATCTTCAAGGAGGAAATAAAACACCAGTTGCCCCTTCTGTGTTTGGAGAGCAGTTTACGGGTATTATTAACAGAATAAAACAGCTTTGGGATTGTTCAGTGTGTATGTGGTTTTGAGACTTGGTCAATGGTTAGTGAAGAGCTGATTATACAGTTTCCCCCCCCCCGGTTCACCCAGTCTCTGCGGGTCCCTCTACTGATGCAGGGGTGTTCCCCAAGAAGTGCTGTGTCAGTAGACTTCGATGGGGCCTTTTTGTCTGGCATTAATTGGTCTTTGCGGAGAGGCAAACTGGCTTTACTGTATACTGAATTGTTATAAGTGTTCACCTTCTGTGGGTACACTCTTTCAGTTAATAAACCAGTAATGCTCCCTCAGATAAAGCTGGCAGGTATCCACTGATCCAGTTGGGTATTAGGATTAAGACTGAGCTTTATGAGGGTACTCTATAATAGAGCAGTGAAGGGAGAATAGAGAGGAAAATAATATGTGGTATCTAATTGGCAGGTATAGTTGTTAGGTTACCACAGCTGCATTCCTGTTTGCAATATTCGCAATAATGATGAATAACAGATTTGTGCTATTAAGTAAAAAGATTTATAGTGCTCGGCTTCTTTTCATGTGCAGAATGAATAAAAATGGCCATATGTTTTCATTTAATCTTTTATAAAGCCGTCTAATTCAGATCAATTGCTCTGGGTAATGGTCAGGAAGTAAGCCATAAGTAAGAAGTTTTGGGTAATTGACAATTTAATTAATTTTATGACATTATTACGCAAATTCCTTGATGTTCAAATAGCTGCAACAAAGGTATTTAAGAAGCATGATTGTGCATATGATGAATCAGATTTAATTTATGCATGGCTTAAAGGTCCCATGTCATGGCCATTTCTACTGATCATAATTCCATTGTTGAGTTCTACTAGAATAGATTTACATTGTGCAATGTTCCAAAATCGCATTGATTTTCTCATACTGCATCTCTGTATGTGTATTCACTCTGTCTTAAACGCCTTGTTGGAGCTCCTGCCTGAGCAACATTGTGCCAAAGAGTAACTTTGAGTGGAGATCCACAGAGCAGAGGCTGAGAAAAGATAAGGTGTGTGCCGGCGAAACTCTGCGGAGTAGCGCGGCTGAGAAAAGATAAGGCTGAGTGAGTGTGTGTGAGGAGCTCCACGGATTGGTCCATTTGGACCTGGGTATGGTCACGTCACTGTACTCAGGAAGAAAAAAATGGAAAAAGAAAAATATCCAACGAGGCGTTCTTTGGCAGCATAGACAGGCATTTTCTGGGTTAGAGTTTTACTCCCTACATGGTGTACTTTGAGGGTTTGTGACTTTGCAGACCGTTTAAATGCAGAAAAAGCTACATAAAAGGGGACGGGTAATAACCGGAAAAGCATGACATGGGACCTTTAAATTAACTACAGTACCAGCACATGAAGAGACCAGAACGTTCTGGCGCAGAGAGAGGAGGGACTTCAGTAGGTATTACAGCGTATCCCAACATTTAACCAATTTGTTATTCAGCTGACATTCTTTATAGTTACAATTATGTTGAGCTTCACCCTTGACAGGCCTGCAGCACTGTCTGTAGGAATGTCCAATTTTCATGTATAATTGGTGAGGGGGGTCTGAAACCTCACTTGTATTCCTTGCACGTTTGTTTAATTTGATAATGAGCATGTTGGCCTGTGTAGCCTCAGGTCTTGGTTAAGCATAGGGATACTGTTCCAGCCAAGCGGAGAGAAAGCAGACTTTCGTGACAAAATGGATCTGGTTACCCATTTGCCTCAACAGCATCACAGAGGATTAAGTTCCTGTTTGCCGTCTCATCTCGCAGGCGCAGGTCCATGTTGACAGATGTTGATTCTGTGTCACCTCTGCTTGTTGCTGGATATTATACTTAATAAGTAATGAGTATATTCAGATTTCCCCTGTCATGTAATCTGCTTGTGTGCAGCAGTCTCCCAGGAAAGATGTCAGAATGTCTGTCAGGAGCAGTAATGCTGCTACTGGTTCATGGTGAGGCTCCAGTGTGATCTGCAGTCTGTGCTGATGGTTTGCTCTGTCCCTGTCAGGTCCACTGCTGCCTGATTGTCACTAAGAGTAACAGTCTGTTGCTGGCACTGCGCCAGGCGGAACAATCACACAGCCTTTGTGCACGCGGCATAAAAGCCTATTTGTCAGGGAGCCGAATTAGGAGGGGGGGGTTGTTGCGCAACTCTACCTGCTGTGCTCTTGTCTAGTCAGGAGGTTGAAGGCACAATCTCTGTTTCAAAATGTAAACAAAAGGGCGGCCCTCACCAACAAAATTCAAAACATGGGATAGAAATACGTGATATACCGTAGGCCTACTTTATTATTCTCCAAAAACGATTAAAACACATCACCAGTGACTCGGTTTTTATTTGAATATATTATTTGAGCATTTTAGTCTATTTTGAGTCAATTTAAATTTCACTAACCCTCAAACAAACCCCACAGCTCCAATATTTTAATCTTGTCAGAGTTACTTTAAAAAAGAAAAATGACAGTATCCAACTGTTAAAACCAAAAAGTAAACATTTTTAAAGATTTCTATATATTTGTGAACAATTATACAGATTTAAATGTTGAGAGCATTGAATGGGCTATAGGCTGGCTGTCACCAACAGGAAGGGAAGTAGTCAAATATTGAGGGATTGACTATACTACTATATGGACGTATTGGTGGTTTTGGTTAACTAAGATAGACAAAGAAATATTGCCAGCATTATCCTTTAAAAATGAAAATTCAACATTAAACTTTGTACACAAATTAGAGCGTGGGCCTCTAGGTATCCAAATGATTCTTTGGATGGCTACGAACTACACTGTTCTCATATTCACTTCTACGATTGAATAGAAATGGGGTGCATTGTTGTTGTCTTTGTTTTGGATTGTCTTTCAGACATTGTAAGCAGTTGACAGGAAAGTGATAGGGTCTTGCCATATCTCCATTAACACAGGGGGGGGAGTTGACCTCTCAGATGCTCCCATCCTTCATTCTCACCTATGGAGTCCTTTTCCCTGTCAGTTCCCCGACCTGTTCCCTGTTCTGTAAAATCTGCAAATATTGAAGGGGTTTAAATTAACGAGACAGAACGCTATGTTTGTCATCATGTTGCACCTCTGCGCAGTTGAAATCCTGCATTATTTTCCTGTCAGCACTTGCCTAGCTCAGGCATATTGATGGCTGCCTTAGATTAAGAGAGGCCGTTTTTTATCTTGATACAGATGTACCACCACACACCCAAACACACTTTCACATACAGATACAAGCAGACAACAAACAAACACATGTACCGACACACATTGAAATAATATGTCAACTAACATTTTCCTTCTTACCATTTGTCTTTTTTTCTTTACAGGAGGGGGAAGAAACACAGCGTTATTCTTCGAACACATCTGTCCATCAGAGTTCACGCCTGCATAGGTGGGTAATAATAACACGTACATTTGTCAGCTCTCACTTAATGATGCTCAATTTGTCTTTCTCCGTATATATCACCAGTGAGGTATGAGCTTTAATTACCTCTATTACTAGTGGATTACTTTATTGAGGTTCTTGTTTAACTTGCACAGTGGCAGTTTTGGCCGAGGATTTTAATTTGAGCGAGAATTAACATCATTACAACAACACTCTGAGAAACAGACCACTGGCACGGAGTGGTGCCTGAAATTATTCAATGTTTTTTGGAGTTACTGTGTTCTGTCACTTTGTTTTATTGGGCCTCCTAGTGTCTTTGAGTAATGTAAGGGAACTAGCACAAAGAGCTGATTGAAAACATATGCAACACATGCACTTGGCATTTGTGCGAACACATACACACAGACAATAAGCTTGTCAGAGGCTGGGTTTTCATTAAACTGAGGATGATAACTGCTAAGCTTTTAAAAACTACAATATACTCTGTGAAATGTTGGCTTGAGTTCTGTTTCCCACATCCTTCTGTTGAGATGTAACTGATAAATAGGTGTTAATGGTTTTTCCACCCTATTTAATGTATGTATACTGTAATGTTAGAAATGAATACACAAGCCCTTGTAAAGTACATTTCCAGTGACTTGTAGGGTTTTCTATGGTTAGTGGAAGAATGTGGAGAAGCACACATTCTTACACGAAGACACGCAGTGCCTCCTCTAAAGGCTTCCAGTGTAAAAATAACGCAAAGCCTGGAAAAGCTATTAAGCTGTAAATTGTCAGATTTTGAATTTGGCTGTATGTTTCTATTGCAGTATATGAAAAACCAAAGACCCAGACATTTCTCACTTGAAGGAAGTCACGTTGATGTGAGAACTATCTCTGATAGTCATTGTGGTTATTTATTCTACCTGCTGTTGCATGACGTGCAAAACAAAGCTTTGGAAACTCCCGCGGATCTTTTACTGAGATGGTTCTGTCATGACAGCTCATTAAACTCTTGGTAAGACACATGAGAAATGAGAACGACAGCTTTCACTTGTTCTTGATGAGGTCTAGTTTGCACATGTTGATTTCTAAAAAGCCTTCACTTTGATTCTTTTGACACTATAATTATGTAATTGATACAATAAACGTTTTATATTGGCAGGCTTTTCAATCCTATTGTTAATAATATTGTAGGGAGATGCTACCTTGTTTTATTACACCGCATGCCCATAATACATTTCCAGTCTTTGCTTGATGTAACAGGGCTTAAGCTGTACTTGTGAATATTTGGCTGAACCTTGCCGCACACTACTCTGAACTGGCTTCACCTTATTCTTCCTCCTGCTGGTGCAGGGCTTAGCTTACCGGAGCCCGGGGAGCGGCAGACAGACTTGCTGCTCTTCTCTAAGTGGATGATGACCCTCTTTCTCTCTAAGTTGACAGCCACCTGTTGCCCTTCCCTAGTCTCCCTCAGTGACTGGACGCATGGCTAACTGATTCATTTCCTCTAAGCGAGGTGGTCAGTGTTACTGTTAACTTGTCCAGGCTTTTGATCCTAATTTTATCTGACTAGAGGCTTAACTCGAAGCCCCTGAGTTCAGAATTACTGGGTGATTTTCCAGGTCCACGCAGGAGATCATTTGTTAGTCTTCCAGAGACAAATGGCATGGTATTCTTTAGGCTGTGCACTTGCTCTGAATTAAAGGATTGAGCATAACCCTGCTGTCAGTTAATTTTAATTGTCAGCGATCTTTAATTGTTGTTGCTGGCCATAGTCTTTTGTCTTTCTTTAATAAGAAAGGTTGCGCAATTAAATAAAGCGGTAAATAATTTGTAGGCCTTAGGCGAATTGCATCTACAAAATGTAAATATGCTTGAAACCCTTTAGAAATATTCCTTTTGTTTGAGGCTGACACGCTTGAATAATAGCACCAGTCTTGCTTTAGGTTAAAATGAACTAGGATGTTTGGATGGGATTTGTTTAAAATCACATTTAAATGAATCCTCCCTTTTTGATTGGTTGCTGAAATAGCATACCCATATTGTCAAGATTTCCCCGCTCCATTAACAAGAGTGATGAGTTGGTTACAGTCATGTATGTAATCTGTCATGTAGCATTATTATGTGGAAAACCCAATTGCATGTATTCTACGTTTTAATTGAGAAGTACATCACTTTGTTTATGTTATCTTGTTTTTGGGGTTTCTCTAAATTTTAATCACAAGGCTAGCTTTTAGTTTGTGTGTTGAGTGTGTGTATGTGTGCATGTGTCATGAACCACAGTAAACCCTAATCCAGGCTTCTCTAATCATAGTCATTAGTGCTCACATACATATGGACCAGGCGTTCTCTTTGCATCAGAGTCAGTGGAGGAAGGAAAGTGTTAGCCCAAAGAGCTAATGGTTTATTAAACTGTTTTTTGACCACATCCTCTGTCATGCAGTGATTTGTTTTAGTCACACAATTAAGCAGTCCATGCTCTGTGTGTAATGAAAGTGCAGATCAGCCACAATACAAATGTTTATCTCTCGGAGTTGTGTGTAATGTAGCCTCATTAGTATAAAGCTCTTTTGTATATTTGTCTGTATCCATGTTATACATGCACATTAGTCCTTTTCAGGGAGAGAAGAGAAAAGTACTTTTGAATAGATGACCAGTAGTGGTAAAGGTTTGATCTTTGTTTATATTTGTTCGACCAGCCTGGGATTCAGAAAAGAAACCCCGCTCATCCCTCTCTGCGTGTTAGCATTGGCCACAGCCTGTTGAAATGGTTGGGCTGTTATTGTTGTCGGTAGACTAGATGTGGTAGCAAGGGCCTGATTAAAGCAATCCTGTACTTATTTTAGTGTTGTCTGCAAGTACAGTAGAGTAGGTCCTCTTTTTATGTGCCATTTTGTTTCTAAGGCTGCACGAATTGCCGTGATGTGATGGTATGGAGAATTTAAAGACCGGGAAAGAGACCAGAGTGTGGACCGCTGGATGTTAAACTGAGGATACCCAGTTAAGAAATAACAAATGGCACATGTTTAGCAATCAACAGCAGCTTTGCAAAGTTCATACAGATGTTCAGTCAGAAGCTGCTGCCCTTGCAATTAATTATATTCATGCATTACTAGGCTAACACTTGAGGTTGTAAATCTATGAACTGCAATCCAGACATTTCTCCTTGATCCTCTAAACATCATCTTGAACTCCCACAGTCAAACAAATGATATTTTATGAATGTGGATCATAAATAAGTGGGTGGTTCAAGCTTACTTTTTTGATCATATTTAGTAGTAATTGTTTACAAATGTAAAAATAATGCATTTGAAAGCTATAATTTGTTGATATTGCCCCTTTAAGAGCAGGTTCATCTGTCAACACATTGATGTCAGCTGAGGAGTGACAGCTGTAATAAGAGGTGACACATTCTTAGTGGATTATCTGCCTTGTCTTTTGCAACCTCTTTTAATCTGGGCCCAAGACATAATTCATCGTGACCGCTGTTGACTTGCACTTCTTTTTGGTGCTACCATTTAGTCAAATTGGTAGTTTTGATCTTCAGGTTGACAACTGAAAATGCTGTGGTTGTTAAGATTGAAGTCAATGAGCAGTAAATTCTCTACCATTATCCCTCTGCAAACCGTGTTGGAGGATGTTTTCCTTGCTGCTAACAACACATTTGCATGGAAGTATACACTGTTAAATGAAGGCTTTTTATTATGATGTGTGTGCCTGTATGTGTGTGTGGGATGTCAGCGCCTTGACTTGAGAAGATAAGATCACCTGCGGGTTATCATGGTGCTCCAAAACATAGTGTCTGATTTTTCCACACACTTTGCCAGATCTACACTAAGCCATCCGCTGTTCTGCGTATACACATAAAAACAACAGTTCCACTAGTTAACCTGCCTAATAAAAAAAAATCTGCTTGCAATGAATGCTTTTGCGAGTTCTCTGCATTAGGTACAATTAATTCTGGGAAGTGTCAAAATCTATTAATAGATTTCTTTGTCATTCCTACAGTATGGTTTTAAATATCTGTGTTATAAATCTTTCGAAATGCACCTTCGGATCAAATCAAATATCTAGTCATGTTTTTTGTGACTGTAGAGTGAAAAGCAAGCAGGGAATAATTAAAAGCATGCATATCACATCGCACCCATGAGACACAGAGGAAGATCAAATGGCCTTTTCTACTTCCCCTAAAGAGACCCCAAAATGGGATCATGGACTTAGAGTCACCCAATGAGGCCAACCTAAACAACATTCTGCCAAAGAGCAGAAATCTGAGGCAGCAAACAGCCCAAAAAGTGAAGCTGAGTTGAGTGTTTCTTGCTTTTAAAATCACAAATGATATCAAAAGTAGATCAGTGGAAGGTTTGAAGGTATCACTCCCCTCACACTTTCCCTCACTCGGTTTTTATATACTCTGTTTGGCTCTGAGCCCACAACCACATGCAGAGCAACAATGTAGTTAAGCTGATTCTTCATTTATGGACAACAATAAAGAACAATGTTTCCCCTCACTTGTCCCTGTGCCCTCACAGCTACAATGCCATGTTTTCCACAGTTTCAGGTAGGATTAGATCTAATTGTTGGCTCTTTTGCCGTTTTGCTTCACATGCTGTACAAGGTTGTGGACCACTATGACACTAATTCGTATAAGCACACTCATATGCTCACGTTCACATGCACACACTCGTGCAAAGGTATGCACATATTAAGAAACCATCTGGTTCCAGTTGTGAGGCCCCTCAGCGCTGCTCCTCACCCGTCCAAAAAAGACGAGAGCTGTCTACGTTTTCATCCAAGAGGGGGGTATTTATTTCTCGCTGTGTTTACAGGATAAAGAGAGAAGTGTGAGCGTGCTGCCTGGCCATGGGACAAAGATGTAAACCTAAGTAGGGGTCCCTTACCTTCATTATTCAGCTTCAGGGCAGTAAATAATGCTATTCTGCCACTTTTATTCTTCTAAATGTACCTCTGACAACTAGCCAAACTCCTGTCAGAAAAATCTAATGATTGGCTAAAAATTGCTT